GGCAGATCTGACCATGTCATGCCCCTGATGACAACTCCCCAACAGGCTGCTGTCCCTGGGGGAGCTTTGTTGTGGGTATACAAAGCCATTACTTGCCTGTGCCCATTCTTCACCCTTAGTCCTCTACTGTGATTAAGTTGCTTGTACTGCCCTAAAAACATTTGCTTATCTCATACTGACCATTATGGTTTGGATATGTGGTGCCCCCCAAAAGCTCCTGTGTTAATATAGGGATATTCAGAGGTGAATTTGTTAGATGATGAGAGCTATAACCTCACTGGTCCGTCTTAGTTTGAATGGACTAACTGGGTGGTAACTGTAGGCAAGTGGGGCAAGGTGGGTCACTGAGGGTGTTCCTTGGAAGGGTTCGTCTGCCCTGTGGCCCTTTTGCTTTCCCCTCTCTGCTTCCTGACCCTGCCATGAGCTGAGCAGCTTTCCTCCACTCCTGCCCTTCTGCCACGCTTTCTGTCTCACCTCAGGCCCAAAACAATGGAGTCGGCTGACCTAACCCTCCAAAATCAGGAGTCCAACAAAAACTTTTCCTCTGATCTTGTCAGATATTTGGGTGACAGCCACAAAAAAACCTAACTAATATAATACCTTTGGGCCTTAGCTTTTGCCATTTCCTCAGCTTAGAGTGCCCACCTAGTCCCTCTTACCTTTGAATCATCTTATTGTCCTTTTTTCTGATCTCAAATATCACCCCAGAAAGCCCAGTGCAACACCCACCCTTTGGGGCAGATACTCCCTGTGTCCACACGTCTAGTTTAGCAAGTCACATGTTAGGTTGAAGTTATCTTATGGCTCCATCTCTTCCCCTGACTCTGAACTCCAGGGAGAGCCTAGACAGAATCTCATACATCTGGCCATCCGGCAGCCTTGCACATGTTGAACCAGGATCATCCAGGAGAGAGCTTAAGCTGTCTGTATACGGCATTAAGATTTGTGTGTAGTAAAGGTCAAGTCCAAGTTCTCAAGGGACAGAAAAAGGCCAACATTTAGAAGGAACTTTTAGCAAGGCTACATGTGCCAGGCGTGGTGGCGGATACCTGTAATCCCAGTGGCTTGGGAGGCTGAGACAGGAGTTCAAAGCCAGCCTCAGCAGTAGTGAAGCACTAAGCGACACAGTGAGACACTGTCTCTAAATAAAATACAAAATGGGCTAGGGATATGGCTTGGTGGTCAAGTGCCCCTGAGTTCAATCCCCAGTACCCACCCCAAATAAAGGGCTGCATGTTGAGTTCCTCTGCAGATCAGGAAGTGGGCCTGAAACCAAGTGTATCTCCCCCAGTGCTCATGAGTTGCCCTGATGACTGGAGGAGCTGCTTGGCAGCTGATGTAGCAATGAGAGCTAAGAGCTAGTGTAAGAGAGGTACAGAAAAAGCAGGGAAAGGGGCTTACAAGTTTGGTTGCTCCATCAAAAACTGCTGCTTAGAATTGCTACAGTTGATTGAAGTGTAGTAAATACTAAGCACTATGAATATGTCAATTAAGTATTACTGGGAATACGCCAGGTTTCTTTCTTTTACATTTTTATGCAGATGGTCTGTTATGCACTGTGCTTTCAGATGTGCAACAATTTGTACAATGATCTATTCCCAAGTATGCCTTAAGCAGAACAAATATTTTTTTTTCTCTATAGTTCTTTACCTTAATCGATATGTACCATAAATTTAAGCATACTTCAATTTTGCATATTTGCAAACTACAAAGTAAAATGAACATTTTTGTGGAATTTGTATTTTGCATACTCAAGGTGAGAATTAAGTTTTAAATAAACCTATAATATTTTATCAGGGAAAAAAAAAAAAGTATTCCAGGGTACCTGAGCTGGAGAAGATCACAGCTAATTACCCCGTGTTCCCTTGGCCAGGCTTGAGTAGTCATTCCGGCAACCCCACGAGAGAAGCAAGGTGGGACAAGGAAGGTGATACTCAAGGTTGCACAGCTGGCATGTGGCAGAGCCTGGCTTTGACCCCAGCAGCCTAAACCCATGGTCAGAATTCGGAACTACCTGCTCCGGTTATGCCTCGAGGGGGCCTCCAACAAGACAGCACCCCTGTCTTCCTGAAGTTTAGCTTCTAGTGGAATTTTCCACCAGGTTGCCATTCTTCTTGCAGAAACCAGACGGTTGTGGTCATCATTTCTTTAAAAAAATTCATTTTAAAACTTATATCCTGGAAGGATGGTTCATCAGAAGGCAAAAAAGAAACCACATGTACCCCAGACTGAGCTCCCCCAAACAGAATACAAAACATATTTAGCTCATTTTCAGATCTCCTTTTACTTTCTGATATTTAACTTTTAAGAAAATCTTGAATTCAGTGGTTGCAAAACTTGGCAGACAGAAACAGGATGGAGTGGGTTGGGAGTGAATCTCTATGTGGGAAGGGAAAATGCAGTGAGAAAAAGTAATTAATAGTTGGGATATGTTCAAATTCATGTTATGTAAGGAGGGCTCTATTTTAGTTGATGAGTCATCTCTTTTTTTAAGGGGGATGTTAAAAAGCTATGGCTGTCCTAATGCTGAATTTGAAAGAAGCAGCAGTAATATCAGTATAATATCAGTAAAATATTAAAATAGAATATGCTCACAATGCTGAACTGATGATACAGGCTTGTGTAAAAGGCTTGTAAGAATTCAGAAACATCAGTCTGTTTTTAAACTTCATTCAAGTGTTTTTGTGAACAGTGTATCAATAAGACTGCCATGCTGTTGGTGGCAGTAATTCAGTGTTTCAGCAGGAGCAATGGCATAATGGAGCACTTCAGAGTGTAGCAAGTGTTTTCCAGTTTTGAGTTCTCACAAAGACTTTTTTGCACAACTCTTTTCTTTCATCACACAGAAGTGGGGCAAGTAAGAGGAACCAAGACTTCTTGGAGAAGTGACTGATTCCAGGACAGGGAAAGAACAACAGGAGCTCAGAGTGGGAAGTGCACCAAGGACGGTGGGGCATGTCAGGAAGTCACAGGCCTGCAGAAGGGGTTCCCAGGGGGCAAGGAGAACAGTTTCAGCATCAAAGTAAATAGCGCTAGTAATGGATTATAAATACCTATTGAATACAGTAAGAATTCATGCTAATATAAATAAATGAATAAATAAATGTGAGAGGAGGAAAAGCACCTCCTCAGATTGGAAAACCAACTAATATATGCAGAAGGGATGGTGGACTTAGAAAAGTCACCACTTTCTAATCAGCAGCCCAATAACTAGGGTAGGCAGGAGAAATTAATGAGATTCACAATAAGGACATCAGAGTCTGAGGAATACCATGGTATTTATACAGTCTCAGAATACATCCCCACAAGACACTTGTTCACTACAAAGATAGTGAAAGATAGAAAAAAGAAAAAGAAACCTGGCAGGTGCTACCTTAAACAAATGATGAAGGTTACCGCCCATAGCAGTGGCTGATGGCAACATGTGTCCCCAGGAACTCCACATCCCTGCCACATATGCCTTAGCCAAACCTAATCCTAAATAAGCATCAGGAAAAAACAAATTAGGGAGTGAGATAATTGGGGGCTGAGAAGCATTCATGAATGTAACACTCGATCTTGGATTTTCCTTTGCTATAAAGCATATTGCTGGGACAATAGGCAGCATCTCAATAAGTCTTTAGCTTAGACAGTAGTATTATTTCAGCAATAATTTTCTGATTGTGATCATTAAATATTATTGAAGATAGCTCTTTGCACACTGTGGTGTTTAGGGAGAGGCAAGGGAAGATGGTTTTGCCAGAAGGGTGCTATTGTCATTCAGCCCAAACCACATCTCTGCCCTGTCACTGGTTTCCATTGGCAGGTTGCTCCCTCCCCTTCCCCATCAACCTCCCACACTCCTAGGGGGAGCAGGTCAACCTCCCTGCCTCTCATCACTCCTTGCTCTGTCTGTAAGGAACCGTGCCCCTCCTAGGCTGTCCACTGGTCCAGATTACCCTTCCTTCCCCACCTGTCTGCAGGAATGCCTACCAAGAGGGTTAAGAGGAGAAGGTGGGGGTAGGAGACTGACTTCTCACTGACCCAAAAGGGAGGGGCACCCTCGACTGCTGCCCATGGCAGCAGAACCCGTGCTCCCTGCAGATCTCAGTTTCCTCACCTGTGTGATGAAAGGCCTGGGCTTGCTGGCCCCTGTGATTCTTCTGCCCCTGTGAACTTGTCTCTCTCTCTCTTAGACTCATCAGTCATAGCCTCTCTCTAAGCCCTAGGAAGCTCTCCCTGGGTCTCAGGATGTGGTCCAAGGCCATGGGAAGCTGACCTTGGGAGCTTCGTCCCTGGTGTAGGTGGTGACATAGGGAGAGGATGTGTTCAGACTTTTAGGCCATTACATTGTTCTCTCTGAGGACTCCAAGATTTGCAGTAAACTCACAGGTGTGCCTTCTGCTGACAGCTTGCTTGGTGGTCCTCCCCTTCATTCTTGCTGCAGCACCTACCATATGCCAAGCCTGTGCTAGACACGAGGATCAGTTAGACATGGTGCCTCTGTCAGGCAGCAAGGTGCACAGGATGGCCCTAATGGGACAATTTTTATAAGGTCAGCTTTCCTTGTGAGTATAAAGTGATAATCAAATGACCAGAAGTCCCCATCTGGCTACCAGTGAGTCCTATGAACTTGTATGATTCAAAGAGCCTCTGTGAGCCTCCACGTCCTTGCCTGTTAAATGGGGATAGCAGTCTCCACTGCCTGCCTGCCCACCTCTCAGAGCCAAGGCCCTTAAGTGGGAGGATTCTATAGAGTGCTCTACAAATATGGCGTCTTGTTAATCCCTCAATATGCACCTATTTGAAGTACTTTGGAAGACCTTAAACACAAAGAGAGCATGACTGTATTATCCATACCCAGAACTGACCTTAGAAGGGAGTATTGCAAAGGCATAATGTGTAGAATAGGACAATCAAGCTGTGACACAGATGATGCACAGCATCCTCACCCCCGCAAAGCCAGTGTCATTGCTGAGTTAGCTTGGGGCTCAAGATTGATTGTGGCATTGTCATTCCAGTGCACCAGGTGGCAGAGCGGGTGGAGGCCCTGGGCCAGTTTGTCATGAAGACCAGAAGGACCCTCAAAGGCCATGGGAACAAAGTTCTCTGCATGGACTGGTGCAAAGATAAGAGGAGGATCGTGAGCTCCTCACAGGTACGTTGCACCTGGAGAGTGACCTGAGCAGCCTTCTGCTTTTGTAGCTAAGAGAAAGCAGAGCTGTCCTTTTCAAAAGCCATCTTCTGATCTTTATGGGGGGGCTTATTCTCCAAAGGACATGATTTAGCAGAAAGAATTCTCTTGCACACTATAGAACTTCACTATTTTGGGTAGATTTGAAATTGGTAATAGTTGGAACATTGTAGATTGTATTTGACTTCTTTCATGAGCCATTTAAGATTATTTCTGTCTGAACATGTTACAAGGTCCTATTTGTGAGCAAATGCAGTTTTGAAAGTCTTTTTCACCCCCGAATCAAGGACATAAGTGATTGAGATTCCACCAATACTTTCTTTAATTTTAAGAGTTTATCAATTCTTATATCTTAATAAATTAAAGATGTGTGTTTGGAAATTATTGTTTTTTTCATTTTTATTTTTTGTAGTTTATATATTTTGTTTTACAACTTATCAATTTATAATCTATTTTTGCATAACTAATTACCTCAAGATTTAGCAACTGTTTTAACAGCAGATATTTATTATTACAGTTTCTAAGAATCAAGCATCCAGGTGTTGATTCTGGTTAGGGCCTCTCACAAGGTTGCTGTGAAGACATTGATGAGGCTGCAGTTAGCTGACCCCTTAACTGAGGTGCAGACTCACTTCCAAGATGCATTGATCACATGGCTGGCTATTGACCAGAGGCCTCCATTCCTTCCCATGTGAACCTATCTGTAGTTCTACTCAAAACATAGATAGTCTGTTCCAGAACAAGTGACCCAGGAGAGGGAAACAGGGGCAGAGCCATGCTCTCTTTTATGACCTAGCCTTAGGATGACATTCCATCCCTATAATGTATTCTGTGGTTCACACAGAACAGGCCTGATATGAGGAAGAGGATTCTGTTAGGGAGTGTGAATATCATCACCTGGGATGATGGGGAGGTGCTTGGAGGCTGGCTCCCACAGTTTAGTAACCTTTACATCTGTTTTTTTTTTTTTTAAACATGTTTTTATGTTATATGTATTACACATAAAACTGTAAACTGAAGTTCAATAAGATATTCCATAAATCAGATTTTTATGGTCAGTGTAGGTTTTCTGTCACCCCTGGCTTTTGCTCAGCTTTTTTAAAAGAAGATTTATTTTTTCTTAATAACTTGTAAGTATAAAAATTACATATCCTAGATTATCCACAAGCTATAACATTTATGTCAGCCTACAATTGGACAGGACAGTTATTACCATATATTATCTACAAACCTAACATGTTACATTTACCTGCTTTGTATTTTTGACAATAATAAATTTATCACTTAGGCATATTAAAGAAGCCCTGAAAAATAGAACAAAAAGGTTTTCTTCCCACTGCCTTGTCCCAACCATTGTTATTATTTTGCAGCATTTCTTTCTAACCTTTCTTTTTTCTCAAATGTTTATTTTCACAAAGTGATTATCCAGATGTACATGGTGCTACCTAGCTAGCTCTTTGGATTTTTAAATCCTTACAAGCATATGGAATACCAGCTTTTCTATCGCTCATGCACCACCTATTGCAAGTGGGAAGGCCAGGGCCACAATAGCACAGGCCCGCACATCCTCCTCTGCTGCAGAGAGGTAGGAGGAGGAGCGTGTGGGTGTGGGGAGGAAACTGGAAAATTCAGGAAAGCTCTGCAACAGACTGACTCATTAGCAACTTTCTCCCTTAAAAGGCAGGAGATTAGTCACCCTGATGGGGTAGGATTAGGCTTTGTGGTGGAAGGCACAATCTCTCCAGGCATGTAGGCCCCTGGTATATAAATCTGTGCTCATGGAGGGGACCACATTTAGTTTAATGAAATTCCAGAGCACACAGGGAGATCAGTGGGCTGGGAGGGGGAGGAAGCCATGGACATGGGAAGTGAGGTGACATCAGTACTCTTCCCCACAACAGTCTGTGGAGGCTCTAGGCACGGAGGACTAAGGCACAGAAGGCTTAGCTGAGCTACCCACACTTTGTGTTTGGCCATTTAGTCAGAATTCAGACCAGAAGAATCACTGCACTTAGGGATCCTGAAAGGCCCCAAATGACCAACTTTGACTTAGCTTCAAGGTTCCTCAACCACACACCTTAATCCAGAAATTTTCCATCAGATCATGTGAAGCAAGAAGCTGCATCCCTTTAGAAATCAGACCTTGCTTCTGCCTGTAGGTGGCATTTTCTTCTGATTTCCCCCAAGCTCATTCAGCAGATTTGGCTCCAAATGCTTGAGTGATTCAAAAATTGAGCCTGCCACAGAGAGCGCAGATTTACCATCCCTGAGGATGTGCAGGAACACCATGCACTTAAGGAGGCCAACTTGTCCACCCTCTTCCACTATCCGTCATGATCTGGGCAGGTGGATGCTTGTAGGGGGCAGGACTCATAGATTTACCTCCAGTGGGTTTATACTACAAATAGACGGCAAGGTGGTCATGCCCTACACCCCCAGCATGGGTACCAGCAGTCACAAGGAAAGTAACCATATTGTTTGTGAAATCAGTAGCCCACAGCTTCCCTGACAGGGGGTGCTCTTTGTTCACTGAACAACTGCCCAAAGGGCTCCCCATTGTTATAGGAGCATATTGCACATTGTTCTGGGTGTGAAATCTCAGAGTGGGGAGCTCTGCTGTCCTTGGGCACCTGGAGAAGTGGACCGCAGGGAACATGAACTTCAAGGAAATGGGAGAGGGGATGAAGTATTGGAGATTATGTAGAGATTTATTGTTTACCTGTCAGGCACCTAAAGGTAATTTTAAATTTTTACTCCCCTAACTTTTGGACATTTAGAATAGGGGGGAATGACAGCTATACCAACAGCTTGTGTAGGTTGATCAGCAGTATAGAAGAAGCATCTGAGCCTTGCTTTCTGTACTCAGGTTGATTCAGAGAATGTAGGGTTGAAAACTGGGCCTTTCGCCAGCTTGGGAAGTTCAGCCTCTCCCCACCTCCATTTTTTTCATGAGTAGATTGGCGGATCTCGATTACCAGGTACTTGCACCAGCTTTCCACTTCACTGTCCTGCTGGACGCAGCTTGACACAGACTTCTCAGCAATTACCTGAGAGAACTTGTTGCCAGCCCCTGAACTGTTTTCTCTTCTCCCTCCAGGATGGGAAGGTGATCGTGTGGGACTCCTTCACCACCAACAAGGTGAGGCCTCCTTCCCAGGCACATCAGGGAATCTCAGTATCCTGCCTGGTTTGAAGGTGCCCTATCCTGATCCTCCACCAGGGCCCCACTGTGAGTGACCACTCAGCCTCTAGACATGGAAGCCCAGGGAAAGCCCAGCCACATTTGAGCAGCTCAGCCAGCCCAGAGCAGCATTTGTTCCTCTCTCGAGAACTCCCTCACCCTGAGAAGAACATGTAGTTACTATAGAGGGCACTACTGCTAAAGTGGGAATGGGCATAGCACAGAAAACTGCCACATTCACATGTCCCACTGCATTTTACTATTTTTCTTCCAAGTAATGATGGGAAGTACCAAAATCCTCCGTCATTTCTTCCCCTTGTACCTTGGGCCAGACTCCACAGCAGTGGAAATGAACAGGTGGAAAGCTGAGGCTGCTGTGCGACTGAACTGAACCATCATGTGATACTGTGGAGTCTGGTCTGGGCACACATGCCTAAAATTAGGTCTAGATTTAGACTTAACATAACATATAGGCTGAGCTCTCTGCGTAGGCATTTGCATGCCTGTATCATACAGTGTTTGCAGTAGGAGAACTGTGTATTAAATATGGGTTCCAATATTTATTTGGAAAGGAGATCTTCCTCTTAGCCATATAAGAAAAGGAGACCTATAGCTCCTGATACAGGGGCAGCTGAATAGCATCCATGCTCCCCATCATTGACTGTGTTAGTAAATGTCATGGTAAGCAGCTATTACATGATCTAATCCAGTGAGGGACCAGAACCATTTTGTAGAACAGAGTCCTTAATGGTCAGGCTCCTGGAGAATAATAAAAAGAGCAATCTAAACAGGCTTTCTTACACATTACCTCCTTGCAAGCCACAGCCTCTCCTGGCGTCCCTCAGCATCTTCTGCACCGAGGGGTGCAATCATTTCTATTTGCACCTTAGGCATAGGGCACGGGCTGATTTCTGGGAGCTTCAGGGATGCTGTGTGGCTACTTAGAGAACATAGCCATTACTGGTAAGCAAAAGGGCCCTGGCCCTGTGCTGAGAGCGGCCAGTTCAGCTCCGTTCATTGGAGGGTGTGGGTTATTCTTAGCATCTGAAAGGCTGCAAGACTGTGACAACAGGATTTTGGCAGGCAGTATTGAAGTCTGTGTTTCCCCACAGAAACATGGAGATTCACAACAGAAAAGAACACCTGGCCTCTAATGTCCATTGGGAATCGTCTAGTCCCATCCCTCGATTCATAGGCAGACAACGTGGGACAAGCAGGAAAAATGTCCATTCCACATGGGGTTGCATATGTTGTTACTGTCAAAACCAGGACCAATATCCTGTGCTCCTTGGAATTAAGATCATGACGCGAGTGTCCAAGAGATATGGTTTTTATTGTTTGCTTATCTGCATGCAGGAAAACATAGTGACTGGGCCACCAGGCAAAAGCCAGGGATGTTCTGCTTAGTTATTTTTTTTAAATATATATATTTATTTTAGTTGTAAATGGACCTTTATTTTCATTTATATGTGGTACTGAGACTTGAACCCAGGGCCTCACACATGCTAGGCAAGTGTTTTACCACTGAACCACAAACCCAGCCCCGTCTGCTTAGTTCTTAATGCTTCCATTTACAGGTTCTCTGTGATCCATGCATACAACCCAAGATCACCCTCCTCCTCCTGTCACCCCCATGCATGTACCCCTCTCCAGAAATGGTTTCAGGACCTATAGTGAGCAGAGACTTATGCTTACTCACCAGTAAGCAAATTTCTACATGGAAAATGGAAATCAGAGTCAGTAAGGTAAAATACTTACCTGAAAGGAGATGCAGATACATATTCAGATTCAAAGAAAAGGAACCCCAGTAGTGAAGCAGAAGAACAAAGGGAATGTAACATTAAGAAGTAAAATATTGGTCTGGGGATATAGCTCAGTTGGTAGAGTGCTTGCCTCACATGCACAACGTCCTAGGTTCAATCCCCAGCACCACCACCAAAATAATGAATAAAAATAAAATATTACCAGGCATGCCGACATATACCTGTAATCCCATCTATTTAGAGATTGAGTCAGAAGGATCACAAGTTCCAGGCCAGTCTCCACCACTTAGAAAGGCCATAAGACCCTGTCTCAAAATAAAAAACAAAGTTCTAAGTTCTGGGAATGTTGTTCAGTAGTTAAGCAATCCCTGAGTTCAGTTCCTGGTACCAAAATTAAAAAAAAAAAAAGAGTAAAATATTAATTAATACTTAGAAAGAAGTAAACATATTAATATTTTTTTCTAGTTGAGATTTTTTACTTTTAGAATATAGGACATAGTTTAGTTGATGATGGGAGGCTGAGACCCTTCGTCAGTCCCAAGCCCACCTTTGTCCTACAGCTCTCCCCTTTGAGACTATGAGGTGACTCAGTGGGAACTCTTTTGTAAAAGTTAAATGTTAAGACCTGTGCAGAAGAGCCTGTCGCTCACTCTGGAACGATGCATGCTGTGTTTCAGGAGCACGCGGTCACTATGCCCTGCACGTGGGTGATGGCGTGTGCTTACGCCCCGTCGGGATGTGCCATAGCTTGCGGGTAAGCTTTTCAGATTTCCAGTTAGTCACAAAATACTTTTCTATTGGCAAAAACAAGCAAACAAATGAGAATTTATAAGTTTTGTTACTACTTGTTAACAATGGGTTAAATCCTTCCCTGAACTTTATCAAAGAAGAACCCACAAAACTCTCTTTCATGATGATTCTCACTGCACATTGACAAAAGTGTAAGTCCAGACCTGTCCCCTGTTCTCTCAGCTGCTGTTGGTGGGACTGTGAATTGGTGCAAACATTTTGGAAAGCAGGTTGGTGGTATATTTCAAATGCCTTGAAAAATTTGTAAGCTTTGCTGCAGTGACCACATTTAGTAATTCGTTTGAAAAGAATGACCCAAAATGTACAAAAGCCATGCAAACAATAACATTTATTTAGCATTTTTTAAATAAATAAGAAAGGAAACAATGTATTCATCAAAAAATGAGTGAATTGTGGTATATGAATTGATTGAAATATTATACAGCAGTAAAAAGAGAAGTTCTCAATTACAGTGTGTGAAAAGAATATCAAAGTTACTAGGAAAATTGTGCCTTATTCTCCTCTCTCCTGGAGCTCAGTTTTACATGGCTAGAATTGAAATATACATAATTTCCTGTCCTGTGTTAAACAATTCTGGAACCATTCAAAATGCTTCTCTCAGCCATATTTGAAAAAAGAGACAAAGTAAAGACTGGGATGAACTGTAGCCATTGTGATAGTAGTTCATTCTGGATGATGAGACTATGGGAAATTTTCCTCTTCTTGATAATATTTTCTACTTTTAGGTTTTTTTAAATAAGCATATGTTATTTTTATAATCAGAAAAAAAGACATTTTAAAAGGGAAAACTCAGGGCCCCTAGAAAAACTTTTGTCACCCAGCCAGAGTCATACCAACCATCTTCACCAGTGTCCGCTCCCTTTGTGCAGCTGTCTTGGGGACATCTTCTCACTCTTTCCTTCCAAGTGTCAAGACCACATGAGTCCCTAGAGCTCATACACGTGTATTTCATATTTTCTAACTTTTTAATTAACAAAAGTATGTCATGTCTCCATTTTATAGCTGGGTGCTCATTTATATAAAATTCATCCCATTTTCTTTCTAAAAGAATATGACGTGGCTACAAAAAATAGACGTATATATGTGCCAAATACGGGCCACATTTAGAGAGAGAGGGAGAGAGAAGCAGCCACAATTATAAGGTTGGTGCAGAGGAGTTCTGTTGGCTGTACAGTTAGGAGGCACAGTCCCCACAAGGCTGTCCTCACTGCAGGTGCCAACCACAAATTCAGAGGTCCCCACAACCACCCTCAGGCTGGAAGGCGCTGTACTTCCTGTCTTAGCTTTATCACAGCAGGGTAGAAACCAGACCATCCAAAGGGACAAGGCGTAGGGTAGAGTCTGGGAAGGGTGAGCTTCCAATCATCCTCTCCCCAGGGCCTCTTCTCTTGGCCACAGTGTGGTAATATCCACAGAAGATCCCCAGCTGGTGCAGCTCACTTAGGCCGTCTGTGTCCCAGGTTATTGGGGCTCGATGACATTGCCTGCATGAGTCTCCAGCTCATACCTTCAGTCTGCAGTTCCTCTTGGGGTTGGAACTGACATATCCCAAAGCTCTCGTCATAAATCACATTATGAGATTGTTTAGTAGCCAAAGCCCCTCAGGCAAACAAAGACATTTACCGGGCAGGACATTCCAGGGGCCCAGACATCACCTCCCAGGAGCAAAGGAAAAAAATTCTCTTAGGTCAGGTCAGCTCTTCACCACTTAGTAGGTATAATAAATACAGTTTAAAAATCCTAGAGTAATTTTTCTAATTGGGTATGTATTTTGGCAAATGCCTAAAGTTGTATGGGTCACATAATTCTTTAGTGTTTGATATTGAAATATTAGGTATCAGGTCTAAATTTTAGAAAGAATATACTGGGTAAAAAATATATTGGGTAGATTCTTTTGTAATTTACAATGCAGATAATAATAGAATGAACAATGTCTTCAATAATAGTTTGAAAAGTGAAGCTGTAGGCTATTATTATGACCCTCACTAAGTGGAACCCAGTGAAAGGATTTCGATGAGGGCAGGGGGACAGGAGGGAAGGATTGTGAAAGGCCCTGGTACATAGCTTCCTGGTGCCTTACACTGGTACAGAAACAGTTCAGAGAGAGCTCACAGGTGCCCTAATCTGAGTCATCTGATTCCCTGGCCCTGGCCAATGGGGATGGTCAGTACCTGTACTGCTACCTTGCTGATCGCTCAGAGAAGGGAAACAGAGGAAAGTGTGCATATTTGTGAAAGCATTTTTTTTTTTAATTGGGGATGGATGGGAGAGCAACAGACTAAACTGGGAAATACTGAATCCTCAGTGTAGTGTCTCCCCCTCCCCCAGACCTTCCCTAGAACTACCATGAGCAACTGTGGTGAAGTTTCTGGTGGCAAATCTAACATAACATTCCCTGACCATGGCATCCTCACAAGTCCACCCCTATGCCATGTTTTATAAAACAACCAAGGTCACAAAATTAGTTGGGTGCTAAAGCAGAGATTCAATACCAAGTGCATCACTCTGCAAAACTCTGCTTCTCTTAGCGATGCAAATAACCTTAAGTATTAAGTGTTCCAACAAAGCTACAGAGAAATTATTATGAGACTTCAGGCTGGGGAAGACACGTCCCCAACTGAAGGTTCAGGTGAGAACATTGCCCCATGGCGCACTTGCTCATCACCACAGCCTACTGCAAATCATTCTCAACCGCACCATCTGTGAACAAGCTTGCCAGAGCAGATTGCTAATAATAAACCACCCAAGCATACAGCTCCACTTCTGGAAAGGTAGAGGGTTCCCTGAGCTTCCCCAGAGCCTCAGAAAGAGTGACCCCATGCTTGTTCCCTACTGAAGGGAAACAGGGATCCTTGGTTAAAGGCTGATGTTAGGTCTGGTGCAGAAAAATAATAAACCTGGGATATTTTCCTGTTCCAGAAAGTAGGAAAGAGCTGGGAATGTAACTCAGTAGTAGAGCATGTGTTTAACATCCTGTAGGTTCAATCCCTAGCACAAGAAAGAAGAGTAGGAGAGAAGGGAGAGGAAGGGAGGAAAGGTTCAAGGACCAATTGAGGGTCATTTAAAAAAAAAAAAAGAGCTGACTTGACTCCAAATTTGGGACGATTTGAAATAATTATTTAAATGAAATAACAATAGTAATGGATCACAACACAAGGAGAAAAGAAGTCTGTAGGTGCTCAGTGACACTGGGGAGGCAATTCTTCCTTCCAGAAACAAATCAGCTGATAAATGCAAAAGGCATTATCAAATCAGAAGGTCACCATTTTGTATCCCTACAGTAATATTTGATTCAAGCAAGGCTGATCACACTAAGCCATTGTATGAAAGGCTTTGGGCGAAGAGGATATTTTCATGGTCTCAAAATACCACACCACAGATTATTACTTGTGATCAACTAATGACCTTTACTTTGGAGAGGAAGGTGGAGGCCCACCTTCACTAAGTAGTCAAAGTAAGCATCACCAATCTTAGAACAACAGGTATCACAAGATTTTTGAAGTGGAGCAACAAGAGAGAAGTACCCAACATCACCTTTACATTATTATTTCCAAAAATATTATACAGGTTGAATTTCCCTAATCTGGAAATAATGAAGTCCACAGTACCCCAAATTCTGAAACATAATACCACAAGTAGAAAAATTCTACCTCTATTGGCTGGTATGTTTCTGGAAGGAGGAATCTCCTCTCCCAGTGTTACTGTACACCTATAGACTTTTTTCTCCTTGTGTTGTGATCTGTTACTATTGTTATTTCAGGTCACAGTCTACACATAGGTACACTAAAAGTATTGTATAGAGTTACCTTCAGGCTATGTGTATAATGTGTATATAAAACACAAAGACCTTGATGTTTAGACCTGGGTCCCCTCCCCAGAATTTTTTAAATATGCAAATATTTCAAAAGTTAAATTTTGAAACACTTCTGGTCCTAAGCATTTTGGCTAAGGGACTCTCAGCCTGTGCTTGAGCAACCAATGTGACAAATCCAGAGTGTGTGACCTTCTATAAAATAGTTGACCTAAGATCTCCTGTCATGAGCAAAACATAAAGGTAGTATGTTCTAGATTAAAAGATCTTAAACAATTGTAACAACTGAATGTAAGATGTGAACCTTCATTGGATTCTGGATCCTGAGGACAACTGAGGAAGATTGAATATGGATGACTTATTACATAATGTTATGGAATTTTTGTTAATTTTTCCAGATGTGATAAAGATGTAGTAGATATATATGAGACCATTATAATTTTTAGGAGATGTAAATTTGCAAATTGACGTATTTAGAAATAAAAAGTCATGTCTGCAGTTTGCATTCCCAGGGTTCAGAATTTGCTCCCACAAACATGACAAAATATTACTTAATGAATGTAGGTGAAGGATTCTGATATAAGGTTTTTTGTTTTGTTTCAGTTTTACTGCAGGTTTGAAAATCTTAAAAGTAAAAGTTGGGGGGAAGGTTACAGTGTGTGATACTGCTAAGGAAAAGGTTGTGTGAGTGTATACAAAAAAGACAGTACACATATCCTGTTCATCTGCGTTCACCCTGATGCTTGTTTCCCTCTGTGCTAGTGGTTTGGATAATAAGTGCTCTGTGTACCCATTGACATTTGACAAAAATGAGAACATGGCTGCCAAAAAGAAGTCTGTAGCTATGCATACCAACTACCTGTCGGCCTGCAGCTTCACCAACTCTGACATGCAGGTAAGTAGGCAGGGAATCTTCTGGGGCGGTGGGACTTGCTATCTCCTGGTCTGAATGGAGTTTTTAGGGCACTTACTTGTGTAAAACTTGGCTGAGCTTCGGGGTGGTGCTCCTCACACATCTCATATCCAACTTTACATTCCTGTTTTAACAACTGCAAAATCTAAATGCTTCTGATATTAAATTTGTGCCCTACTTTCAATAAACCACAGCAAAAGCAATACAACCCTAAAACTTACACTGTTTTCCTTAGCAAGTTGTAAAAAGCCTTCCATGGTTTGTTTTTTCACACTTACTCAGCAATCCTGCCTAAGTGCCTACCACCCTGTTGACAGATACCACCTGACTCTGGGGCAGAAAGCTCAGTCTCACCCTCAGAAACCTCCAAGAGAATCAATAATGGTTAGACAGTGGGGGAAACTGGGGAGCTCAGAGCCAGAAGGCATCACAAACGTGCCCTGCCTGTGAGAAGGGATGGCTGCCCCCTCAGGCCGCCACAGTGTGTGAGGGAGCCCATGGGAAGAAAGCAGCCCTAGAGGCTGGCAGTGGCAGAGCCCAGGGATGGGCCCTATAGAAGGAACCATTGTAGGTGTGAGTCAGATTTGGGTTGTTTAAGGAGAGTCCATAGGCTGCTCTGACTTCAGCTGGTTGATGTCAGGAGAGAGGTGAGGCTGGAGGTAGGGAGTCCAGGTATCTGTAACTATTCAGTCACTGGTGGAAGGAATGTCCACACTTGGGGTGCCACCAATGGGCAACTCGAGCACCTGTTGTTTGAGTCTCACAGACCTGCGCAGTAGGGGGCATTGCAACCAGCAATGGCCATAGCTAAATGTCCTTGAGCCTGAGGGTCAGCCAAAGCAACACAGGACATTTAGTCTGGATAAAGAGAGGCTCTGAGGGATTCAAGATCAGTGGGTTGAAACCATCTGAGGTCCCTCTGGTGAAGACCCATCCCCTTCACTCTGTTGTCACAGGTGCTGGCAGTAGGAGCTAAGGGGACACCTGTGTCAGAAAGTACTTTCTAACCTGCAGCTAGTGGAGATGGAGGGAAGTCCCTGCTGCCTTCCTCTAGGGGGCAAGCCCAGGGGGCAATGCAGGGGCTAGGTCTTAGCTCCCTGGTGTTCTAGATAGTGATGCCAGGTAAGGTTTTTACTTCTGTGTCATTTGTTTTTCTCACTACAGGTAAGGATGATAGTAAATTCTTCCCACCTAAGGTTTTCTGAAGATTAAGTGAGATAATTTATATAAAATAACATAGTTCTTGGTAAATATCAATAAATATTACCTGATATTATTTCAGTAATATTACACAAAGCGTTATGGGTGATTCATGGTTTGGTACCACTGAACTAATGAGTCTTATAGCTGTCTTCCATGTCTAGGATCTAGGATGATAAACAAAAACTAAAGTGGCTGCTATGACTCCACATTCCATAACAAACAAGTGACAGTGAGTTTAGGATTTGGTATAGTGCATTTGTCTGAATAAATATTTGGAATTTTTTAAAATTTATTTTTGTTTACATTATAATGAAAATCACAAAAATTTAAAACAAAAAAAAATTCCCTATTAAGAATTTACTTTGGATGTTTAAAAACTCTTTCTTTGGTGAAAGAGTATGGTATAAAAATCTCTCAAAGAGCTAGGCTGGGGTAATCATTTGAAGCAGATTATTTGGAACTAGTGTCCCATAAAAAGTCATGTTATTGACCCTTTGCAAGTGTTAGGACAGGAAAAGACTGGAGCATCCACTAGTGGGTGTGGGCCAGGAGAGACTGAAAGGATCTGGAGCACATTTCAAAACACTGGTACCCAAATTAAGATTTATTTCAAGGGTTGGAGATGTAGCTCAGTGGTAGAGCACTTGCCTAGTATGCATGGGGCCCTAGTTTCAATCCCTAGTACCAGGGATGGAAAATTAAAAAAAAAAAAAAAAATATATATATATATATATATATGGCTGAGGTTGTGGTTCAGTGGTAGCACGCTTGCCTAGCACGCATGAGGCACTGGATTCAATTCTTAGCACCACATACAAACAAAGAAAATAAAGGTCCATCAACAACTAAAAAAATTTTTTTTAAATAAATAAATTATATATATATATTTGGTTCAAGTCTAAGGGTTCATGAGCTACATTTACCAACCTAAGTCACCTTGTTGAATGTGCACAGGCCTCCCAAGGGATGTCAGGGCCAGAGGCAGCGCTGAGCACAGGTGCAGGGGCTTTGCAGCCTTGGAGATCCCCTGAATTTGAATGCTGCCCCTGAGTGGGGCCTCAGCGGCTTTGCCCAGGAGGCAGGTGAGCTGGGGAGGAACCTCAGAGTATCCTCTCCTGGCTTCAGGGAGATCCTGGCCTCCCCAGACTCTCCATCAGGAAACCCAAGCCAACACAGTACAGTAAGGCCAGGGTGGGAACAGATTCCCCTCCTTGTAATCTGTCCAATCCCTACCAAAAAAACAAACAACAACAACAAAAAACACTTAAATGATAGATCTAACATATAAGAAGGGACAAGAGAAAGGGGAAGGAGGGGAGAGGAGGGAGAACTCACCAGTCCTGGAAATTAGCAGAGGGATGGGAACAGTGAGCGCATCAGCTTTGACAGCCCTGGAGGGGCTATGTCCCTGTGTCCTTCCCTTGGCCCTAAGTAGCCACCTTGACCCTGTGGGGCAGCCAGAGGTGAGGAGTAGGAGGCTCTGCTCTCAGGACTTAACTGTGGTGATCGCCTATTCTGCTGCATACAAAGAAGGCTCCAGGGCTCTGTGATGTAACCAGCAGGACCTAAGTGGGCCATGAGCCCTGTGAGTCCCTACCAGCTTTCTCCCAACCTCAGTAGGCTGTGCTCAGCCACAGCCCAAGCCTCCCATGCACTGGCAGTGGTGACAACCAGAACTCCACCTCCACCCAGGCCTTTCCCTGGCACCAGGGCTCCCCTGAACTCTGGCCATCCTCTGTGCTTGGCAGCTGCACAGAGGCCACTTGGGTGGCTGCACTGGCCTCCAGCAGACTTCCTGGAAGGTGCCTTTCTCTTGCTTTCTGCTAGAAGCTTCCACAGCTACTCACCTACAGTCTGAGGTCCTCAGTCTGGTGCAGCTCATCTTCTTTCAGAGCGGACCTTCGCCTCCTGGGTCACCCTTCCCTCCCATTCTCTTGGTCTGGCCAGCTGTCACTCCTGTAAGGCCACTTAAGACATTGTCCCTGGGTCAGGGCTCTTCAGGTACTGCCTGCATCTCAGCACTTCTCACATGGCTGCCAGTGATCATTGCATTGTCTGGTGATGATTTCAGCCCCCAGGCAACCATCAGGAAAACATGTTGTCAAGCAGAGCTGAGTTTATTAGACCCCTGCAGTTAGGGAGCACTTCAGCTCCATCACATCTGTTGTATCTCAAATGGGGTTATCAGGGGAGGGTTCTCCCCATGTTTCAGGGTCCAGGCTGATGGGAAACTTGTTTAAGATATGATAGCTGTGGACTGGTGAGCACAGTGAAGGTCTTGGAGTCTTGATGAGTACATGGTTAGTCTTGATAAGGAAGTCTGTTTGGTTCACAGTCTTTTCTTCCAGGAGCAGGTATTCCTAGAGCAAGCATCCAGGTCCTTTTAATGGTCTTAGTTTTGTCTAGCATAGTAACAAAACAATGCCTGGTCCTCAAGTTAACACAGAAAAGGGAATTATGTTGGTTCCATTCTCACTCCAGTCTTGTTAAATCAAGCTCTGGGAAAACAGATACCATCACAGGATCTTTCTGCGAGTCCTAATGCCCCAGCACAAGGCCCAGACATCATCAGCACGTAGCAAATGTTTACTGAACCTGTGTGTGCATGAGTGTCCTCCAGCACGCATCAGCGATCCTGGGGAGCTTCTAGAGCCACATCCTGCTCTGGCAGAAGCAGCAGCAGGAGAATGCACCTGACAAACAGCTGCCTAGGTCCTTGTTGCTCTACGTACAATTCAGGGACCAGCCACAACCTCACCGAGAGTGTAGGAGAAATATGGGCTCTTAAGCCCCACTCTAGACTTCTTAGATCAGCAAGCAGACCAGTGGTTTGTGGGCACCTCTGAGAATCACTTTAGTGTCTGGCCTGCACAATAGTGGTATCTGTTTGACAGGTTTCCATAGGGCACCTCCTACATGCAGCCAGCGGTGGAGCCCTGTAGGTACCACAGTGGGACCACTGGCATTTTGAGGAAAACAGGCACAGATATCTATGATTCAATGACTGTGCTGGTGCCAGAGACCTTCCTACAAGAGAGATTTCTGTGCTTGCATCTAGATCCACCAAGGAGTGTGTGTATGTTTGTGTCTGTGTCTGTCTGTCTGTCTAAGGAGGCTGCTTGGACAGACTTCTGGAGAATTTTAAGCCTCTGATGAACTTCCCCCAACACTCTCCCTTGTCCTTTTCTGCTGACAGATCCTGACAGCCAGTGGCGACGGCACATGCGCCCTATGGGATGTGGAGAGCGGGCAGCTGCTGCAGAGCTTCCATGGGCACGGGGCTGATGTCCTCTGCTTGGATTTGGCCCCCTCAGAAACCGGAAACACCTTTGTGTCTGGGGTAAAAACCCAAGGAAAATCTTTATGGTCCTTTGTCCATTAGGGAGGCCTGTGGTGGCAGTTCTTATGCATTCATGGAACCAGACTTGCTCCTTCCGTAGAAGGAGCTGCAGGAAGAGTCCTCAGCTCCCTATACCACCCCAGCTCCTACCACAATGGCAACACTGGCTCCAGGCCCCCTTCTGTTCTGCTGCTGACATTCAGCCATCTAAAGAAAGATCTGGAATGTTCTCCCATGTAAATGATTCAACTCAAGGTGCATATCTGCCATACAGTATTAGCACTAGAGATGAGGTACCACACAGGTGCAATGGCTACTGAGGTGAGGTGGCACAGAGATGTGCTCAGAACTTCAGAGCTGTCGAAAACTCTTCCAGCCCTGTGTCTATTGGCCACCGACCCCCTCCCGCTCCAGAGTACAGGGACCAGAGTATTTGAGGGCTCAGAGTTGAAAGACAAGGCCACATAACACAGTGCAGCATTAGACTAGGAATTAGGCTACCTGGCTCCTGGATTCACTACCTGATTTCAAATATCTTCACCTATAAATTTATCATAATATGCAATAGAACTACCCCCACTTCCTCGAAACATTACCAGCAGTAGATGGAAGAGTTCATGCTGTGTTGTGCTGAGGCATTTCTGTGGCAGCCCAGGAAAAGGTCAGAACAGAGCTGGCCAACCTGACCCCCAATCCTGACTCACCTCACTTAGAAGACAGTGGTGAGTAAGGACAGTGACACACAGTCTGTCCCATGACTTTTGCTCCTGAGAGACATAAGGTTCTTTGCTTTAGGCTGCCTATGCCTCAGCCCCGGGAATCATTGGCATGGACCCTGGTTTTCTTCATGGGTATTTGACCATCTGTAGGTTTTATCCCATTGTGATTATATAACTGTGTTTATCACTGCTCAACTATACAGGGGTTTTTTTTTAAATTATCATTATTACTGAAGACTATATTATCTTTTAGAGCACTAGACTCCATTTGATTTATTGTCCACTAAAGATGTGAAGACACTCCTGATTTTACTGTCCTCATCTCAGCAACACTAGGAGTGCTGCACCCCAGCAGGTCTCCCCGAGATAGCCCCTATGCTGCTTCATTGAACCCTTTGCTCTGCGTTGAAGCCGCAACTTGGACATCAAGTTTAAACCATTGCTTCTGTTTGACTGTTGAGGGTCTGCATTTTACCACTTAAGCTTGGTAACAGGATTGCTCTGCAGGAATTTATCAAATTGTTCCCAGAATCCTGATAGCATGGTATGAAAAGGCTCATTTTATGATCCTCTGTGTGGTGCCTTTCCAAGTGCTGAGGTGGAAGCCCAGCAGGTGCCTCTTCTAAGATGGCAGGTCCAAGATTAAGCTCTTGTTTGCCAATTCCCAGCCCAGCATGCTGCTGAGCTGCAGGTGGCCCAAGGGCACCTCAGACAGAGCTGGTACTTTTGCTGCTCAGCTTTAGCCCTGCTGACCCACTCATTAGTGTCACAGCAGAGAGAACCCACCATGCACCACCGTCTGCCTGCCTTGTCCTCTGGGCTTAGGAAGGTGGACAGATAAAGGGAAGGGGAAGTGAAGGGCAGGGAAATGCCCAGAAGGAGGGTGAGAAGGAGGCTCTGGAGAGTCACCTCCATTCAGAAATGTGGGAAAGAAGAAAACATGCTAACGGGGAAAGCTGGGTGCCCCCCTGCCTTGCTCCTTCCCATTCTAAGACCTAGTGTAACTTTCTCAGGGTTTATTGGTTGAGAAAAGTAGCTATTCTCAGAAAAAATGTCTTGGGACTCCTGCTCTGTCTATAGACAGTCCTTGCAGTGCCATAACTCTGAGTAATTTTACATTTGCAGGGATGTGACAAGAAAGCCATGGTGTGGGACATGCGCTCTGGCCAGTGTGTGCAGGCCTTTGAAACACACGAATCTGACATCAACAGTGTCAGGTCAGTAAGCAAAGTGTTCCTGTTACTTCTCTGTCCTGTCAGTATTACCTGGGCTTGGGTTGTCCCCAGCCCAGGAACCACCTTCAGGCTTCATCTACTTGGCTGAGAGGGACTACTCAGCAAGAGAGGCTGAAGGTGATAGAAATGATCTGCGCTCCAGGTCACATGGAGAGTTTTGATTTAATTTCTTTAGGAATAATCGCTATTCTCCCTAAGTTGAATTAGTATTTCTCATGCATCCAGCAAATATTTACTGAGTGTTAATATACTAGACATCATTCTCATAACTGAGATTGCCAGTAGTGAATAAGATAAGCATAGGCAAGGTCTTTTCTCTGCTAGAGAAGATAAACTATAAATAATAAAAGTGCAGTTTAATTTGAGATATCAATAAATGCTATGAAGAAAAGTAAGACAGGGAGATATGATGGGATGGGCTATTTCTTAGATAAAAAGTCAAAGCCTCTACTAGAAGGAAACACTGAAATCGGGGCCAGAATAATAAAAGAGCCAAGCTGCAGGTGGAAGAGTTGGGGGAAGAACACAGAAATGAGATGTCGAGGGACCTAACAAAAGGCCAGGTGACCACTGGAGAGTTTAGGGGCAGGGTAGCTAACAGGATCATGTTTCACTTTGAAAAGAACACTCTATATAGATCATAGGGGAGCAAGAATGGCAGTATGATGACCACTTAGAAGGTTGTGTGAATTCAAGAAAGAAATGGTGGTTGAAGGTAAGGAAGACATGATGGAGACAGAGAAATGTCAAGAATTATCAAGGGTCTGAGATTTTACTTACCTGAAAGTTAACAAGTTAGGCTGCCATCACTCATAGATGCTGCTAGAAGATACAACTCAAAGATGAAGGACAGTTTATATTAACAGCAGTGGCAATATCCAGAGTATCAGCATGTTTGTGCTGGTTACTTAAGCCCAAGTCACCCCAGGGTGACATACAGAGAGCCAAATAATACCTGCACGCTCACAGGATGCATTATGAGAGAACCCTGAACTTAGGGAACAAAAATCTTTTATCCGGGCAGTAAGTAGTGATCCATTTCCTAAGACAGGGAAGACTAAAGGAAGTGCAGGAAGGAGATGCTTTTGCACATGGATCTAGGAGCTCTGTTCAGGACTAGTTCAATCTGAGATGCCTAGTAGATATCCAAGGAAGATGTCAAGTAGGTAGCAGAATCTGTGAATGGGATTCTAAGGGAGAGGTCAGGATGTGACATGTATGGAAGACACCACTGTTGAGATAGTATTTAAAGAATCTTCATTATACTCAGAATCCCAAGAATGTTCATTATACTTAGTGGGAAAATACTAAACTTGTTTCTCTTAAAAGCAAGAACAAAAGAATACTTATTTACTTCAGTACTCCCTGCTGTCAAATGTGGGGTAAGGAAAAAGAAAGAGACTTCCTTTTTGCAAATGAGTAGTAGTTACCTGGACAATCAAGGAAAATCAATCTAGAAACACTACAGAGAGCAAATGAAGTGAGTAAGATGCATGATGGAAGATAAAGCCTCAAAAATAAATGATAATGAAGTACAGTTTTAAAGTGCACATTCTCTCACCCACGCTGTGCCCTCTACCCTGACTCCTTCCTCTAATGTTCATCAGACTCTCAGGTCTCCAGATCTCTTCAGGATCTGAAGAGTTCCCAGAACTGAGTTAGATGTCCTCTGGTGACAGGGGCCACACTGTATGGCCAATGTATTCATCCGTTTCCTCTGCTGAGGAAATCAGAGGGGTAAATACAACCAAACATTAAGTATTTATGAATTCTTAATATAAGAAATTTTTTAAAGATATTGATAAGTAGAGAAATAGACCTTATTCTTGTCGGTAAAGACAAAATATAACCTATCAAGTGGACATTCCTTCTGTGTAGAGTGCAATCCCAGTTAACTTATTTTATAGAATGCTATAAATTGATGCTGAGATTCATCAGGCAGATTTTATGGGGATTGATCCAGTACGCTGTGTCCAGGATGCCAGGGCAAACACTGAATACTGTCCCTCCAAAGCTAAGGTCACACTAAGTGTTGTCATTGGTCTCTTAGCATGCCCTTGGCTATACACGGAATGGTTAGGACATGGGCTCATGTGACAGAGATCCAAGTAACAGTAACTAAACAAGATAGAAGTTTATTGTCACACTGAAGTCTGAGCTGCTTTGATGGCCCACTCTGTCTCTTTGAAACCCTGTTGTTCCTAGCATGGTGCTTTGGCCCAGCTTGCCTTCCCCTGGGTCTCCTTCCCAGCGGGTGAGAAGAGGAGGGTTGAAGGTATCACTTCAGCTTACATCCCATTAGCTAGAACTAGACTAAATGGCCAGTCTGGCTGCAGGAAAACTAGAACATAGTTTTCATTCTGCCAGGAGCCAAGAGGGGAGTTGGTGTTTCTCAGTGGGGCACTCTACTTGTGTTTTAGGTAGGACATTTCTTCATCATGAGGGACTGGCCCTTGTAAGACATTTTGCATCCCTGGATGCCCCAGCCACTGAATTCTAGTAGCACCTCCTAGGTTTGTTGACAACCAAAAACCCTGCTCATATTTAACCACAGCAATAGTAGAGAGAGACAGGGAGGGAAAGAGACAGACACACCAAACATCACTTACAGATAATCCATTTTACACTTGAACCCTAAATTTCCTGCCAGCAGAAGGAAATCATAGCCCATGATGTCCCAAATGAAGTATAATCTAGATATCATTTTAATTTGACATTGGAATATTGGTGTGTCAGACTCCATGAATCTCTAGTACTTTCAAAAATATGAGCTCACAAGACAACAGACTGATTGGAACAGAGCTTCTAGTTCTTAGCACATGCCATCTAGCCTTTCTGTTCTCCATCCCCTGCTTTCAGACTGGTATAAGTTAGTCACACAAAGTCAAGCTTCATTCTCTCTTGCCAAATGTCTTTACTTTCAACTCCCCCAGGTAGGAGAGGTAATTCCATAAGCTGTTTTAAGAGATCTTCTGCTCTAGCCTTTATAGAGCTGTTGGATATAGGCCATTTGTACAAGAAAGAGGGTGCAGCAGGAGGTGTGGGGACACCTCTGAGTGCTGGCAGAGTGGAGGTTGGAGACCTCTGTTTTGATTCTGCCCACAGCCCATCATCTACGCATTTTTCCTACCTATCATTGAGAAGAGTGAACATGGCAGTAATAGTTGCTTATTGAATGCTTTTTATTTAGCACCATGTGAAATTCTTTGCATGCTGGGTCTTATTCGGTCTTCCCAACAGGGAATATGTGATATTATCCTCAATTTTAGCTGAAGAAACTAAGGCTAGGCAAGATACAGCTACATGTAGTACATGACAGCACAGACAGCTGAACGTGGCTATCCTTGAGCTCTGAGCCCACTCTCGGGAAATAGGTATGTGATCAAGGGAAACCACATCTACAGGGCACCTGCTCTGTGTTCAGTGCCTGATGCAAATACACATATTTCATTTATTCCTCATTCATACTCTGCAAGGCCAGTGTCACTGTCCCCTGTTGACAGAGAAGAAAACTAGAGGTCACTGGACCTGCCATAGAAGCCTCCCTTCAGGTCTCTTTAACGAATGTCCCTCTGTCCCTAGAGGTGGAGGTTCTGATTTTGGATGAGCAACATGGGAGGGTCTTCCTGGAACAGCCATCCCAGAGGACTCTTATGGGTGTCAAGGGACAGTAATGACCATTCTGGATTAAATGCTTTCTATCCAAACTCTCTCTGCAGGTACTATCCCAGTGGAGACGCCTTTGCTTCAGGGTCAGATGATGCTACGGTATGTTTCTAAGCTCTTGAAAAACTTTTCCTATGAGAAAGAGAGATATGCTAAATTAATTTTGTCTTATAAAAAATAGCTTCTTATGAAAGTAATGTATATTCAGTGAAGAAAACTTAATTAAAAAAAATTTAGTAGTTGATAGACCTTTATTTTATTTATCTATACACAGTGCTGAGAATTGAACCCAGTGCCTCACACATGCCAGGCAAGTGTACTACCACTGAGCCCCAGCCCCAAAAACCTAATTTTTTAAGGAGAAAAATTAAATTACCTTAATATCTCTAAGACAAAAATCAGTTAGATAAATTCCTGTCTTTTGTCTCTTCAACAAAATGCTTTATAATTTGCCTTTTTCACATAGTGGATTATAAACGTCTTCTCATACTGGTAAATATTTGTCTACATTATATTTTTCTTAATAGCATTCCACATATAGACATGCCAGCATTTATTTAACCAGGCTTTGATTTATGGACAGATTTTCTCATTTTCTTTTCCCTGTTAAAAATACTGCTCTAAGTAAATGTTTGTGTACCTTTCTTATTATTTCCTTAGAACTCTTAGATATTACTTGCTGAGCCAAAAGTAGACCCAGCTTCAAGGCTTTGATACTAATTGCAAATTATGTTTATCAATTTTTGAGGGCAAAAATATATTTTGGCTGCCCTCAAAAATGTCAAGTATTAGTAGGACCTGGTGGTATGCACCTGTAAGTCTCAGCTACTTGGTAGGCTGAGGTGGGAGGATCACTTGAGCCCAAGAGTTAAATGCTAGCCTAATCAACAGAGTGAGACCCTGTTCCTAAAAATTAAAAAAAAAAACACGTTAAATATCTTGTTAAATAATAGGTTTCATTCTGATTTGCTGCTATAAAAAATTACAAGGTAATAGATTAAGAGTTTTGGTAATAATGAAAATCATAAGCTTTTCTATATCAAAAAATATGTAACAAAAGGTAAGGGCATAGCCAGGCATGTGGGCATATGCCTGTAATCCCAGCAGCTTGGGAGGCTAAGACAGGAGGATCGAGAGTTCAAAGCCAGCTTCAGCAAAAGCAAAGCACCAAATAATTCACTGAGAGTCTGTCTCCAAATAAAAATACAAAATAGGGCTGGGGATGTGACTCAGTGGTTGAGTGCCCCTGAGTTCAATCCCAGTGCCAGAAAAAAAAAAAAAGATAGGACATACATTTTGGAAAAATTCTTGCCATGTATGTGATAGACCAAGTAAAAATACTTTAGATGTGAAGAGGTTACATAATCAATAAGCTGAATACCACATTTGATGGACCTTTATTCATTTATTATATAGGATAACAATAGACCATTTACAAAATAATAAATCCAAAATGGCCAATAAATACCTAAAAATATTTTTTAATTCATCTATAATCAAAGAAATGCAACTTGAATATATTCAGATGCCTGTTTTGCCTGTTGGATCAGCCAAGCATTGCCCAGGGGTGGAGCTGGTGAGGCAGAGGATCTTTGGAGAAACCCCAGTAAGGCTTGTAGGTACCACCCTTCTGAAGGGAAGATTTTCAGTAGAAATTATGAGCTTTTAAGACATCCTTGTGTTTTGACTTGGCATGCCATTTCTTGAGAACAATTCTATTCTAGAAATTCTACCTCTTGACTATTCTAAGGAAATTTTCAGAGGTGTATTAAGATTTTTACATAAGAATGCTCACAATAGATTTTCTTTTCCAGTACTGGAAATTGAACCCAGGGTCTCTCACATGCTAGGCAATCACTCTGTCACTAAGCTATATCCCACACCTTTTTTATTTTGAGACAGGATCTTCACCATGTTGCTCAGGGTGTCCATGAACTTGTAGTCCTCCTGCCTCAGCCTCCTAAGTAACTGAGATTACAGGTGTACACCACTATACAAGGCAGCACGATAGTGTTATTTATAGAGAAAAATTAGTCACAAGCAAGCACTTAACAGGGTGTGACCAAAAAGATTCTAACATATCAACATGAGGGATGTTTGACAACCATGTGAATTTTTTGAAGATTATCTAATGATAATTAAATAATGCTTATAATGTTACTATAAACAATAATAAAACATCTACCCTGGGCTGGGGTTGTGGCTCAGTGGTAGAGTGCTTGCCTAACGTGTGAGGCACTGGGTTTGATTTTTCAGCACCACATATAAACAAATAAAGGTCCACCAATAACTAATAAAAAATTTAAAAATCTACCCCATTTATATATACACATATAAAATAGAAATAGACTGAAGGAAACAATCTAGACATTAGCATATCTCTAGGACTTGGGGTGACTTTTATTTCCTTTTTCATGCACTTCTAAATATTTTTGAATTTTCTACAATAACCATATTTCCTTTATCAGGAAAATATATTTCATTTTTGTTTTTGTACCTGAAGAAATTTTCTGCATGTACTGATTGTTTGGGTTTCTAATGATCCATGGAGATTAATAGAAGTCAAAACTGAGGGATGAAATAGTAGAAGAGAAAGCTAAAGAGATTTTTTTACCTCATCTGTCAAACCATATAAGCCACCAGCTCCCACCAGAAGCTCTGGGGTCACTATGTCACCAAAGTGGAGCCAAAAGTAAGTGCTTTTTTGTCTGTTTCTTTGTACCTCAGTGTCGCCTCTATGACCTCCGAGCAGACAGGGAGGTCGCCATCTATTCCAAAGAGAGTATCATATTCGGAGCATCCAGCGTGGACTTCTCCCTCAGTGGTAAGATTGTATTTCAGAAACTTCCCCAGGATTATAAGACAGGACCTGAATGCAACCCAGCTCTCTGTCAAGCTTCCCACTAACTAAACTTTCTGTGAACCATTATGTTAAACTCACATTTGTCATTTGTGCCATTTTCCTCAACTGCCCTTTGTGTGTATGTGTGTGTGTCTGTGTCTGTATGATACTGGGGGATAGAACCCGGGGCACTTTATCACGGACCTACATCCCCAGCCCTTTTTATTTATTTATTTATTTTTAATTTTGAGACAGGGTTTGCTAAATTGCCTTTACCATCTTTGAACTTGCAATTTCCCTGCCTCAGCCTCCCAAGTAGCTGGGATTACAGGGGTGCGCCACCACACCTGGCAAAATGATCTGTTTTTGTCCGCCTTGCCCCTTGGTCCCCCTTCCTCTAGGGTCCCATATCCTGTACATACACGTAAGTCCTTACAGAATGGTCACATGATATTACAGTGATTTATTTCTCTCTGCCGCACATCCAGCATGGGGCCAGCAACTGTGCTTTTTCCTCTTTAAATCCCAAAGGCAAAGCACAGGGCCTGGCACATCGTGGCCTAAGTCACTATTTACTGATTGAATGAATAAGTGAATGAATGTGCGAGTGAGTGACGGAAGAAAAGCAGGAGGGAGGAAACTGGTTTAATAACCATCACATCACCCACTTGAAGGTCGCCTGCTCTTTGCTGGATACAATGATTATACCATCAACGTCTGGGATGTTCTCAAAGGCACCCGAGTCTCCATCCTGTTTGGGCACGAAAACCGCGTCAGTACTCTCCGAGTTTCTCCTGATGGGACTGCTTTCTGCTCAGGATCATGGGATCATACCCTGAGAGTAAGTGAAATGTGTTTCTACTGTTCTGTGTGTGACAGGAGGGAGAAGTGACCAGCCTTCCTTAAAGCAGAGAGGGCAGAGCAGGCTGAGATGGGCCGGTCAGCCAGGCAGCAATCACTTCAGCTCTGTGGGCAGCCATAGAGGCAAGGAGTTTCGTGGGGAGGTGCAGAGGGCCCCATCCGCACAGGTAGGTGTTCAAGCACAGATTGGACAACCATGTATCGGTGTCAAGTTGAGGGATAGCTGGGCTCAATAATCCACAATGCTGCCTTTGACCCTGAGGGACAATTCTTGTGATCCTAACCTTTGGCACACCAGATTTCTAGCCTCTCCTCCCAGTTTTGCTGTGTTCTTCTTACTGATGACCTTGTTATGACAAGGGACACAGGCCACAGACACTTTAGGAAGCCTGTGAAGCCCCTAAAATGGTCTTACAAATTGTGTGTGTGAAACAAGCCCTCGTGGCTTTCTTCAAATTCTCAAGCTCCATGACCTTGTCCACCTTTGGCTCCCTCAAAGTATCATCAAAATAGCCTATTCATCAAGCAAAGCAAGTTTATTCCACACGTCAGTGTGAAGGATCACAAACTTGACAGAGACTTAGTAGCATCTCAGAAGGGGAGGGCAGAGGCACATGTGAGGGTCTGGCTTAAGGCAGGTCTTAGGACAGAGGCAGTTGGTTAGGATTGGGCATGTCTGTGGCATGATAGTTTTAAGATTGCTGGAACCTGGGTGAGGGAAGGATTTCAAAGACTGGTAGAGTAAACAGTCATTTGATGCTCTGAGTTGTCCTGAGACTTGGACATTATTTCTAAAGTGGGCAAATGGAATGTCTAGTTTTAGGATAAATAGACATAAAGAATTTTTACAAAATTCCTAAAACAAAAAGTTTTCTGTGAGTTCATCTAAGTGTCTTATTGACGAACACGGTGAACTGTTGGGGTACAGATGGTTCAGATCTCAATCTGAAAGAGCTACCAGTCTCTAGTAAGAGGCCACAGATGCCTATGGATGATTAACTAAGAGACAGGGGAGTCAGATCCCCAGAAGCACCTTCAGGTGGCTGGGAATGAAATGTTTTCCTCCTAAGGCACGTGAGTACCCTAGTTTGGATGGAGTGAGTTCATGCGTGTGCCGTGTGCATACAAGTGGATAGACTGATTTTATCTCCTTAAGTTCAAGTCAGACAAGTTGTTAACTACTAAGGAATTAAAAATTATCTGTCTTCACAGGTCTGGGCATAATCATCATCTCACAGTTCACACATACGTACCTGAGGATGGAATGTGAAATCTTCACCTGTAAATAGACAGACCTTCTAGAAGAGCTTAGGGTTTCTTGCAGTTTAGCTTAAGAGATCAGCTGCATAGCTCAAACTCACTAAGCATCTTCAGCATCACTGCTAAAACCACCACCCCTGGAAATACATTCTCATGAGCCTTCAGCACTACAAGAATACTTTGAAGAACAGTATTTTTCATTTTGACCTATTTATAAAGTTTATCCATTTTTAAGGTTATTCTAAATAACTTCAAGTTTATTCTAAATAATTCAACTCATTCTGTTGCCCATAGAATTCAGCAATTGAATATTTCATACTACTTCCTTGAATCAAATTCATTTTCAGAACACTTTAAAATCTGCTTTTTCTTAGCGTACACTGTGACTTTTGGAACCTTGCTCTAGAAGTGCTGGTTTTATGGACTGTCTAAGGAGGAATGTGTTAATTGGCCTGTGACAGAACAAAATTCCAATTCCAAATGTTATTGGACAAAACCACTTTTTAAAAATGTGTTTTTATTATAAAATTATCTTTTTTCAGTCTCCTGTCATCTTTTTTGAGATAAAACATTTTTGTCTGTGTACACTGTTATAAATGAAGCAGGAATATGCATAAAACAGACAGGATGTTTGATTCATGAATTACATTGCTGATGTTGTATATGCCTAAATAAATGTATTAGGGCATTTTTCCTCATTTGAGGGAAGAGCTGAATGCTGTCTGTAACACAATGCTTCTGAGAGCAAGCAAAACCTTCCTGTGTGGGAACATAGGACAGTAAACTTATTTAAAAACCTATTAGTAGCATTAGTGGAAACACTTGGATCAAAGTGGATCTTTTCCATATAAATTATATTCATATATATTGCACTGCAATTGTAATTGCATACACAGATTGATGGATAGATCTTGAATAATAATGTATTTATTCATCATATATTTAGAGAAAAATATCAAAAGAACATTTTGTCTTTATTTGAAATTCAGCAGTTCCTTCTAGAAGATGCCAAGTACTTTTTGTTATGAGATTCCTTTTATTCTTTCTTTCCCTTTCTTTGTTTTAATTTTAAGGTGTAGAGATCTATTTGTTTTAGTAAGCTGCTCATTCAAAAAGTTCACATGTGCCCAGGCACGGTGGCACACATCCATGGTCTCAGCTGCTCAGGAACCGAGGTAGGAAGATTGCTTGAGTCCAAGAGCTCAAGATCAGACTGGGCAAGATAGCCAGACCCCTGTCAAAAAAGGGGGGGAGAGGTGGATACAAAAAGATACATTACTTAGGGGACTGAAAGGTCACCTCAGAGACCCAAATCCTTCCTAGGTGAGGCTTGCCCTGTGGGTGGCCTGGGGTCTGACCGGCCAGGTGCTTGCTGTGCTGAGGCTATTTGTATACATCCCCTGAGTTGTCCAGTCCCCTCTCTGCTCTGCCCAGCCCTTTTCCTAGTGGTAGTTTTGGCTTTGTCGGCCCAGCCCCAGGGCCTGCTTCTCCAAGAGGCCCTTGCACAGCTGGAGCTGGAACAGCCATGGGAAAGGCCTGGACTCCCATAAGCACTGGGGAGGTGGGAGTGCCAAGCCCACCCTCAAAACTATTCAAGCATCATGATGGGCCCACCAGTCAAAATCAAGCAGACCAGCTGTTCTATAAACTCACTTTAAATAAACACAATACTTGTATTTAATCATTTGCAGAGCAAATATTTACCAAGGGTTTTATAAGACACCAGGGCCAGGGTAGAGAGGAAAAGATTAATGGCCTCTTCCTGCCTCCTGAGAGCTCAGGGTTAGAGGGAGCATGGTTCAGAGGAGCCATGTTTTAGAATCGTCCAACGGCTGACAGGGTCAACCCTAAGGGATGAGCTCTGCTCCTGAACATCCCAGAATTTGCCTGGGATTCACTGACCTCGAGCTGTCACCCCCTTCCCTCTCCACACACCTGTGTCTCTACTCTGACCTGGACCTGCTAGCTTCCAGAAGTGAAGAAACACAGGGCAAAGGAAAGCCCACTGCACTCAGGGAAGCAAGTTCAAGTGTCCATGTTTGGGGGTGGAAGCATCATCAGTCCACCTGCAAAGTAGCCCAAGATTTTCCAACCAAGAGAGCAACTTCAAGGCCAGATGAAAGTATTCCACAGAATGCCTTGGGCAGGAAGCCACCTCTCCCCAAAGTCCATGTTCTCACAGTGGGTGCTGTTTAGTATTTATTGGTGAAATTCTTTATTTGGAATATACTATGCCATGTGGAGACTCAAGGGTAAACTCCATGTAATAAATTGTATTTTGCATATTGAAAATAATACTGAGTGTAGTTTTTGAATCAATTTTTCTTTTTTTGTAGCAGACCTGAGGACAACCTGCTGAACCATTTGTGGTGAAGGGGCCAAAAGGATGTGTCCCAGGCAAGAAAGGAGCCTCAGGGAACCTCCTCCCCAGCCAGAGAGAAACTTTAGGCAGAAAGGATGTGTAGAGTCAACAGTGTTTGTGGGACATATTTGTGGAACAAAATCATATCAGCTGCTTTAGAGAGAAAGCAGTCGGCCTGTGAGAACCTGGGGTCCCAGTGACCTTCCCTGTTCTGGGGTGAGCCAGAAGCAGACACTCCATGTCCACTTCTCTTCTCCCCTCCAACCCTTTCCACACCCTCCTCTCGGTGATTGGTGGTTTAAAGGCAGCACAAGGTTCTAGGCCTTGGAAAGGCCTGTGTGTCTGGGCTTATGTAATTCCAGCTAGCTAGAAGTTGGCCCCACTGACACTAGGTTCCTCCATAAGTTAGGAGGGGCGGTATGGTGACAAAGAATGAGGACCTTGGGTTCCCAGCTCTATCACTTATGCAGGATACATGATAATTCTAAATATCTTTCAACCTCAGTTTCCTCATCTATGAAATGGGACAGTAGTAAAGTAGGTGAAGTGCCTACTCAAAACTTTGGCCCCCTCTCTGTCATTTCCCAGTCCCCTTCCTATTTCTTCCCTCTCCCTTCTCACTCCTCTTACTCATTCTCCCTCTTTCTCCTTCCTTCTTATTCTTATCCCTACCTCTTTTCTCTTCCTCCTCTCTTCCCCTCACCATCTTTTCTCTCCTCTCTTCATCCCCTTCCTGGCTTCCTCCCTCTCACCCCTTCAGGGGCTCTGGTTCATACTTTTAAGCTAGGGGCTGGGGTTGTGGCTCAGCGGTAGAGTGATAGCCTAGCACAGGCAAGGTCCTGGGTTCGATCCTCAGCACCACATAAAAAATAAATAAAATCAAAGTATTGTGTCCAACTACAACTAAAAAATAAATATTTTTTAAAAAAAAGAAAGAAAAGAAGCTAGTGGGCCCTTTTCAGGCACCTCTGAGTGAGAACTCCCTGGGGGTCATTAAGGCCTTAGAAGAGCTTCGAAAAGAAGAAACCAGGATAAATAAGGAGAGCTAGCCTCTAGGAAAGGCCTTCAGAGGAGGCTTGGGGCAGCCCTGGGCAGCATGGGAAGTCACAGAGGGTCCCAGAGAGGCAGTCAGAAGGGCCCAAGAGAAACTGGAGCCTGTGACCTGCTTAAAACCTTTTCTAAGGAGGACCTCTAGAATCCTGGGAGAGCAATGATAGGTTGGAAGATTAACAGAGGCAGGGGTTGAGGCCATGTTGTTTCTCCCAGGCCTGGAGAACTGACTGAACAGGGATTTACTGTAGATCTTCATTTCCTAAACTTGCCTGCTGAGAACCTTCCCAGTCAACAGCAGGGTGAAATATGGCTCCTCTGGCTGCACTGGGTAGGCACAAAGGGGGCCAGGATTATGATGAGGAAGCCCCCTGGGGGATCTTCTTGTCTCCAGATCCTGTCTGTGAGTGAGAATTGGGTCACTCTTCAGAGCAGACCCCTGACTTCTCATTTCTAGACAGGACTTGTCTGGAGCCAGGCCAGCTTTCAGAACTGCTAACAGCCACAGGGACTATGGCCCCCTGTGGGCTAACTCAGGCTAATTCTGGTGAAAGATATGAAGTTATTTTATATTTTGTATTACATAAAGGATGCAGAGCCTCCAGTGAGGTGACAGGATCAGAAATGGTGCTATGGTTAATTTAACCCACATAAATAAATACAAATAACTGAATGTAAGAATGGTATCTCACTTATGTGAAAACTGACAACAGGAAGTGCTTGTCTCTGAACCTGAGGTTAGCTAACCAACACACCACTGTGGATGCCTGACTTTGTCATAAACAAGAAACCATGAAAGTTGAGGTCACTGTTTCCAGCCTATGTGTTTTCCACAGTAACAGGCAGCCTCCTGCCCTTAGGTCTCTGCTCATAAGAAATGAAAAGTTTAGGGATGGGGTTGTGGCTCAGTGGTAGAGCACTTGCCTAGCATGTGTGAGGCACTGGGTTCGATCCTCATCACCACATAGAAATAAATAAATTAAATAAAGGTATTGCATCCATCTGTAACTAAAAAAAAATAAAATAAAATAAAAAAAAATGAAAAGTTTGTCCTCACAAAACCCAAACACATATGTTCATAGCAGCATTATAATAGCCAAAAGTGGAAATAGCCCAAATGCTGAACAACAGCTGAATGGATATTCAGCAATAAAAAGGAGTGAAGTGCTGACTCATGCTACCTCATGGATGAACCCTGAACACTTTGTGCCAAGTGAAAGACACAAAGAGTCATAGATTATATGATTCCATTTATACGAAATGTCCAAATAAGCAAATCCACAGAGACCGAAAGTAGATTTGTGGTTACTTAGGGCTGGAGGTGGAGTTTGACTGCTGAATAGATTTCTTTTGGGGTATTGAAATTAGATGGAGGTGAGATTGCACAACTCTAAATACACTAAAATCACTGAGTTATATACTTTAAAGGTGTGAGTCTTATGGTATATAAATTATATCTCAGTAAAGCTTTTATTTAAAAATGCAGAAAAATAAAAGGCAGCTACAAGCTTTTTGCAAAATTTCAAAAAAAAAAAAAAACAGAAATCACATAGATAAGACAGTTGTATGTCGTGTTTGAGTAAAACAAATGAGCCTGGGTTGGAGCCCTGGTTAATTCATATGAATATCAAAAACTTCTCTGCAAAACCAAGCTTTTACAGCATGCCAGGCACTGTGCTAAGCACTCTGCATACACCAACTCATGTACTCCTGGCCACAGTCCCGGGACGCAGACATTTCCTTATCTTCATTTTTGAGATGGGAAATCAAGGTCAGGAGTGCTGAATAGCTTGCCCATGATTGCACAGCTTCAAAGCTGCAGAGCCAGGATTTTAATCATGTCTGACTACAAACTGCCTCTTGGCACTATGTGTGAATAGGAAATTCTGTGTGGGGGATAATTTATTTATTTATTGTTTAGTTCTACTGATAAAAGAGTTACCAATGGCAGGACCAGATATTTCCCACTCACTCTCAAGCTACTCTAAATCTAAGAAAAGTTGTGCTTATTGTTAAAATATATTGTTCAGAATAGTAGAATCATGACTCTCTTGCATATATGATATTTTTATAAAAAAATAAATATCAAAACTTTTATTTAACTCAATAACTAATGAGGGAACAAGATATCAAAACCAGTTCAGATAGGAATTTGATGAGTATAGATTTATATTCTCTTACAACATATCTCATTTGGCTCACTCTGATGGGAATCTTTCCCATTGGTAGATCAGGCACTTAACAGTAGCATTAGCCAGCTCAAGTTCTATAGTGGAAATTCCATGTTTTTGAATCTGTACATACCCTCTGTCCCTGATGCCATGACCTTCCTGCTCACTGAGCAAACAGCTAGGTAGAGAGTGACTGACATTTCACAGAGTGCTTAATTTTGTCCACCTGATTGAGTCTCTGCAGTGGATATCCTTTGGCAGGCATTCGCACAGCACACAAATACCTTCACAGTCTATGCCCATTCAGAGGCCTCCTGCCATAATCATCTTCCCAGTATTTCCTTATCATTGGTCTTTCACTCCTGTTTTTGTTTTTTTTTTAAAGGCTCTGACAATCTAGGAAAACTATCAGGAATGCTTATGAATCAGTGTAGATCTGTACTCTAAGCATCTCTCACCCCAGGTAAAGTAGACAACCAAACATACTACTCTTATTTTTGCCCACTGAGTAAATTTTCCTTTGCCAGTGTCCTTCACAGTCACCCCTAAGTGTGAGTGAATGCCATAGCTATTCAGTTTTTTTTTTTTAATTGTACTGGGAATTGAACCCAGGAGTGCTTTACCACTGAGCTAAGTCCCCAGCTCATTTTATTTTTTTATTTTGAGACAGGGTCTCAATAAGTTGCCTAGGGCCTTGCTAATTTGCTGAGGCTATCCTTGAACTCATAGCCCCCCAGTCTCAGCCCCCCAAGTCTCTGGGATTACAGGTCTGTGCCACCATGCCTGGCACTATCCACTTTCATATGGAAATAGCTTATCATATGGAACCATCTGTAATCCAGGCTTGAGTTTTCCTCGATCAGCTGGCCCTAAACAACACCCCAAGAGACCATACACAAGGCAAAGCACCTTGGGGTTGAAGGAGTCTGGGCAACCTGCTTATATACTTGTTCCTTCTCAACCTGCCTGAGTTCAGTCTCTCATATGCCATTCCCATTTGATGACAGATTGCTGCTCTATACATCCAGCTTTATTGTTAAGTTCTGTAAACAAGTCAAGATGGCACCTGGCATTTTGCCAGAGGGAGTGGTTTGTGAAGTAACGCCAGCGAGCCCTTAAGTGTGGAGATTCCTTATTGGTTGACTGCTGTATCTAGTTTATGTTAATTAAGATAAGCTGTGTGGAATGTATATATACCCCTCCTGTCCTACAATAAACAGCTCCCACTCCTGCTGTATCAATGTACACAAGTTGTTTGTCACACCCCCCCCCCCAGTTTTTTGCTGCAGCCGGACTGCGGCACTTTATGACTCAGTAGTCTAGACAACATTGAGTTCAGATGGGACTCAAGCTGTGTAGTCTCTTTATGGTTAGGCCTATAGCCTTTACCAAGGCTCAGTAGAAAGCCACAGCCTACTTCACAAAAGGAGAAAAGTCATCTTCAGAAGAAGTAATAGAATTTGCTAAAATTCTAGTGATCTCCAACCATTGCCTAATAGTGCTTACCAGAGGTTGCATACAGCATATTTTGACACAGCAAGTACCATTAGATCTGCTGGATCATAAGACCCAAGAGGTGGAGTAGCCTCATGGCAGCCTGCATGTTCTGCACAGCTTTCTTTTACTGCAGTCCCCAATTCACCAGCCTGTAGACTGGGTTGAAGTAGAACACTCAAATGTGGTATATGTTGCCTGTGAAACCTAAATGGCCT